TTTCAAAGATGTGATGTGATTGTTGATCATGATTTTTATATACTTTTATCATGGTGAGCCAAGTTGCTATGGTCCAGAAAACCACCCGAAAAGGTCGTTTGTTGATAAAAATGTCCGCTGTGCAACCACCTTAATAAAAATAGTCGTCGACCTCCAGGGTATCAGTATTATTATTAATGATTATTTTTATTATTACGATGATGATTATGATGGTGCTGATGCTGATGATGATGTTGATGATGATGAGATGGGTGCCAATTAGTCTAAAAAGAGGCGTGCACCATCCCAACTTGGATCCCGTTGGGATAGATGTGCCGGCCATGATCTTGTCCCACTGCCCACCAGAGTCCAAGATCCTCGAGATTCTCAGGCAAAGTGGGAACAGTGAACTTGGAGGCACGCTGCAAACTGGCACTTGGGGATGATCTCGAGTACTGTCTATGGGTTCAGATAGTTCAGAGGGAAGTGATATTTTATGATATGTTTTTTTCTATTTGAATGGTATGTATTTGCCTCATTTGGGCCTATTTGGACGGTTTTTTTTCTCCGCCTTGGACGATCCACCTTTGCACTCCGCGGGTCGTCATCGACCTCGTTCGGGCGAGGCCACGGGCAAAGAGAGCGCGGCATGCCAGGGTGCTGTCTTCGAGAACAATGCAGCTTCCCAGATGTTTGGAGTTTCGTTTTGCTATTTTTCGGCATTTTTTGTTGGATGGCATAGCATCCCTTTTTTCAAACCTGGCCGGAGCATAAATATGAACGACCATATGACTTGGTGTTGAGACAATCGGGTCCAGCTTTTTCTCGGATGTGGGCTCGTGTACATTCTGTTCAACTCGGTGCTCGAGCATTTAAATCATCTTAGGTTTTTTCCGATTCTTTAATATTGGCTCGATGCATCGAGGGCCCTCATGGATAATTGGCCCACATCTTTGGGAGATATATATATATATCCAGAATCTCAAGATACCTCGATGCCATCTTCTGCAATCGCACCTGAGAACAACGTCATCACCATTGAGAACGACCATGATTGCCGCTTTGGATGATCACCGTGTGGTTGGGGCAGGTGGCGGGTGACGGGACTGGGGTTCGGACCTGGACCTGGGGATAGTGTCCTCAATGCACACTTATATACCTCTAGTGACCGTGTATTTGGAGCAAGGGTTGTTGATCATTCGCCTGACAAGATTTGGGGATCCCGCAAAAGCTCTCATATTTGTGTGTGGATTCGTATAATTGGGGGGTAGTTGCTTTTGTGGCCGTCGCCGTGGCTTTTGCTTTCGGAAAACCCTCCTCCAAGCCCCTGCTAAAAATGGTTTGAGCCTTCACACCGATGATGTGTTTGCTATTGCATGGCAATCTTTTTGTAGTTTCAGGGGTCTGAGAAAACCTTTGTAGGACATGATTTCCGGGGTTCATCGGCGACCCACGTGGCAAGTCCTGTTTATTCAGAAGGCAACAAAGCCCCTGTGGTTGTACCACGGGCTTGTTGAGGGGCCTCAGGTCCCTCAGGTTCAATGGGGTGTTTGTGTTTGGTTCCGGCTGTGCTAGGGCTGTTAGGGCTCTTGACCATTGCAAACTTAGCGGCCCACATTGGTGCAGCCAGCATTCCCAACCATTCTTGACAAGAGTTGCATAAACCATTTGAAAGAGTTGCGTGCGCTTCCCAACACTAACGGGTCCTTTGCAATAGGTTCTCCGATATTATATAAATCAAGAGCCATATGCGGGGTACGTTTTCTTTTTTGTTGTTGCTGCCTTTGATGCTGCTGTTGCTGCTGCTTTTGTTCGTTCGTTAGTAGTTAGTTACTGTAGTTTAGTTTCGTTTAGTTTGTGGTTAGGTAATGTATGGTAGTTAGTTTAGTCTAGTTTATATATGTTTATATAATATTTATATAGTCTAGATCTTTTTACTTATGTAATGACATGAGAAAGTAAGCAAGCTAGTTACAGGTAGTTAGCTAGTTATCGCCACTTGTCGGGTCAAGAAGCCTTGCTGGCAGCCCAGCTGGGGCTGTCGGTTCACACCAGGTCTGAGCTCTTGCCACCCTGTTGGAATGATGTCTTGTTTAAGGTCCAAATTGTTTTCATCAAGGCAAGTTTTTAGCCATTCTCTCGCTGGGCTTTTCGACTGGTTGGACTTCAATGCGAGGCGGGCTGTCGAACTATGACTACACAGTGAGGTACTGCCCGGACCAGGACCAGGGCGACTCAGAATGACATGGGGCGACTCCGCTCAGAGAAGTTCAGACCTCGAAAGCAATCTGTGGGCGCAAGTCGTATGGCTTCCCGAAAGGCTCCCATTTTCCAATCTCGGGATGCGTGTTCCTACCGACCTCGGTGGTCTGCTCCGCCATGAAAAGGCGGCCGACCTCAAAGAACGCACGTGGCCTCGTACCCAAGTAGTTTGTTGCGCCCACACTATGTCTGTCAGACATCTCAGACATCGGTCCCTGGTCTGGCTGTGAAAATAATCAATCCCATGACTAATCTCAGAACCTCTTCCTTTGAACAATTGCTGCACTTCGTTTTGAAGCTTTTGCCGCATGGGTTAGTGGGAAATTGCATAATTAAATACGACGTATTTCATAACGCCATAAACCGAAAACCTCCGCGTGAACAATGCGTCAGCTGAAGCAGGACTCGCTGATCGTGAATCTGGTGAAGCCTTTCAACGTGAGGGTGGTGTTGAACAGTGAGAGCTGCGCGGGAGAAGTTTGAGGCAGCAAGATATGTTTTTTTACTTTTTTTTTGGGGGGGGGTGTCATCCTGTTCTACCTCAAGTATAGGGGTAGGGGTTTGTTGACAGAGTTCGTTGAAAGTTGTTTGTTGCTTTCCTTTGCTGATCCAGGCCAGGCTTTGTGCTGCAAATTCTTTGTATGTTTCTTTCTCAATATTGATCAGGTGCGTCTATCCGATATTCATGCGAAGCTTCGGGTGGCATGTTGGAGATACCCACCTATGGGCTCGTCCGCTGGCTCGTTGGGATGGGCAGACCGGCAGGCCTCTCGTGTCCCGTATCAGCTCGTCTGAACGCAAGAGGGACCGATCCGGAAGGATGGGTCGGAATGAAGCTGGTTCGTCTGGGGTGTAGCCCATTTCCTGGTTCCAGTCGGTCAACAAGAGAAGGGCCTCTAGCAGAAACTAGAGTTCTAGGCCTCTACTATAGCCATCATCATCCAACTGGGCCCTGGTAATGGGATCTACCCGATAGTGGAAATTCATGGAAATTCGCAGCTGTTCGTGGGGCGAGGGACTGATCGATCTAATTTTGCTGCATTCCGTGCCACAAGTATATAGTCATTGCAATCTTCCAAAGTCTTTGACAATCTTAGGAGAAGTATATCTTCAAAAGTATTATCTTCAAAGTCATCTAATATTGCCTCATCTGAGGCACAAAGAACAAACGGTTTGCTTAAAAGATAGGTTGGCAGGCCATGCAGGTTGACAACCGCCATGCAGGTTGACAACCATCAAGAGACTTTCAAGTTTTGTGCCAGAAGTCTTCGAAACCATTGAAGCACCCCAAAAGAACGCAGGTACCACTAAAGCTCCGTAAATTAGGGGTTTGGATCGGGGTTCATTGCTCATGGATTTTTCTGATGTATGGTTGCCTCGCCACGATTTCAGCATTTGCACGCAGCCGCAGCCTGCGCCTGTGCAAAGCAGGCCTTCCCATGGTCACCGGTAAAAGATGGTGAGGATTCGTTGCATGCCCTCGGCGCAGACAGTGGCTATAGTGACATGGTGTTGCCACTGCAAAAGCATGTTCCCCGATGTTGCCTCTTGATCAGGCCTTTCTTTTTATGTTCTTTTTCCTTTGGGCTTGAAGTGACTGGTCATGTCCCTTTAGCAAGGTAATTAGGTAGTGGGACACCATTCTCTGGGGCTGTCGCAACTATGTGCAAAGATGCCAAGTTCCTACTGGGGAGGTCGTACGTTTGTCACCGTTTTTGGCAACTTTCCAGCTGTTGCGGAAAACTTGAGCCGTCCATCGTTGGGAAGGCGCACAGCGGCGGCGCAAAAAGTGCTTCGCGGCACAAGAAGCAGCGCACACGAGCGATGTCAAGTGGCGCCAGCTTTGGTTTTTGCCTTCCAGACTCACTTCCCCGTCCCCATCCCAATGTGTGGTGTCATGGTCAGCCTGATGGCTTTGGTTTTGAAGGGGGAGTGGTTGGAAGTTTGGGGGAAGCTTCCCTGGCTTCAAGCGCAACAGCCGCTTCCAATTCATTCAGCGCAAGGAAAACGGCCCGCAGCCAGCACGTGGTCGCGCGAGTGGAAGTGTGATAGGTACTCATATCTGAGGGATTGCACGCATGTAGCTAAAGAGACGTTGAGTGAAAGAAACATGAGTTGCGGATGTTTTGGGGTGGAGCAACTCAGGAGTACGCAAGGGAGTGGAGTGACTGGAGCATGTGGCTTTTCGTTTTTGACAGAACATTTTTTTTTCAGTGTGAAGACTGTGGCGATCTCTTTTTAGAGTCCAAGCGTGAAACACAAAGGACTCGCCCGAGTGGTTTGGTGGAAGAGTTGCTCTGATTGTTTTCTCTCTCCATATGGAGAGCTTAATTGATCAACTACAATGACCCACATGCCGGCAGTCTGTCGATGCCAATGATGGCCCAGTCCGCAAAAACCTTCGTCTCAACGTGGGAAAAAACACATCATGGGGTGATGCGACATGATGTGACCATCATCATCCAGCATCCAAGAAGGTCTGGGATCCACTTACTCCCCTGCAGATTAACACGGAACCCGAAAACCACTGGGTTATTTGCAGGTTCCATGTTCACCTGCAGGAGAGCACGTATATTTTTGTTTGGGTATGTGTTTTCTTCTCTTTGGGGAACGGATGATGGGCCCTGTGCATCTCGACTCTCGCGATCTGTCTGCAGATCTCGTGGGCGGATCTCTGCAGATCTCTAGAGGTTCGAGGGAATCTCTCTGCTCCGATCCTGCCCGAGTCCAAGCCATCCTGCACTTCCACCGCCTGTGAGGCATTCCCGGCCTCTACCGGGGCCTGATGCCCACCATGCTGGGCATTCTGCCTCATGCAGGGACCAGAAGCTTGACGATCTTGGCTCGTCCGCTTTTGTGCAGCATTGCCGGCAGAATCCCCATCGTTGAGATTCATTGATGTTCATTCAGTGTTATAAAAGCAGCAGTACGAAACTATAAGCTTATTCGTGTATGGTTTTGCATCTAGGCCCTGAGTCCATCTCCAGCCTGCGTCAGCTGCACGGGGCACCCTACTGGACCCACCCTGATGTAGAATCTTGATTCATAACCCCCTTTCATATGCGGAGCAAGTAGCTACTAGTAACAAGAAGCTACTAGGGGCTCCTGGCATCGCTACTAGGAGCAAGGACGCTACTAGGGGCTCCTGGCCGTACTACTAGGAGCAAGGACGCTACTAGTAACGAGAAGCGACCACAGCCCCCGCGGGGTCGGGTTCCCGGTTTGGTTGGTGCCCCACTGTCTGACAGTCTGAGCCGATGAAGATGGGTAGGGCATGGCATGGGACACCTTTGGAGTTTGATTGAGGTTCTCATGTTTTGTTTTGGTAATGGTGAATTTTGGCCCCTTGGTCAGCCTTTGCTTGAAAAAGTAGACAGGTGCACAAGTCTCAAGCCGTCTCAACCAAGGAAAGTAGCGTTGCTGGGTTTTCAGTTGGAGCAGGGTGTGCGGCTGCATCCATGCGGGCGACTGTCGACTTCTGGAAGGGGACAGAAAACTGATACACTCCCTGGAACTAACATGGAAGTGGAGAATGCCCCCTTGGAAGACCATTTTCCACTATAAACAGGTGGTGAACTCCACTTCCACGTTAGTTTTCAGGAGTGTAGATCTGATGCTGAAAGTCTTTTCCATGGCTTCCCACTCGACCAAGGCTTCTTGGTCTTTGAAACACTGAAGCCCTGGACTCGACGGGCGTTGGGCCTGTGGTCGGAGCGCCGCTGGTTTCAGCATTCCTGGGGGGACACGTGTGCCGTCTGGTTTCCGCTCAAGTTTGCAACATGGACATGGAACACCAACGACCTGTTTGGCACCTGGTTTCCTAAGGGTTGCCCTGTCTGGTCATCCAGCCACCCCTTGGATGGTCGTAGAGCGATGCTTCTTGCCCGTGGCTACCACTTGACATGCGGAGTGTCGGAGTGTATGAGTGGGGTGGCCCAAGAGATGGGTCCCCGTGGGGTGCGTTTTGGGGGAACACGTCTACGTCTACCAATGTATAGGGTTTTTGGGGATGGTAATGCCCGTTCACGGGGGTTACGGGGTGCGTCTTCAACCATCCCACCCAAGAATCCCACTGTAAATTCATGTCAGTCCGAAGTCTTCGCGAGAATCCCACGCATCCCTGAGTCCTGGACGGGTCCCCCTCTGCTCCGCGAGTGACGAGTCCTGCCCCATCGCGGAAAACGGCCGAGCCGGACGCATCCGCGACGCTGCCCATACCAGGCGACCTGCCTATTTGGGCGCGGCTGTGCTGTGGCGGTGTGGCAGGGCTGGTGGCCCAGGGCGCCAGCTATCCACTCCACGTGGCATGGGCAAGAAGGTGGTATGGGCCATGGGCAGTGCGATGGGCTTCCAGGGCCGGAGGGTTGTGGGTCAAAAAGAAGAGCCTCAACTTGAAGGTGACTAGGTCAAATTTCCATCATGCGAGTGCGTGGGATTGGGGTCACTTGGTTTTGAGCCGTAGCTGAGTTTGGGTTGAAAGCCGGAAAACCCTGGGACTCACAAAATGAATTGGTCAAAGTCTCTAGCTACCAACGTACAGGGAGCGTTTTCCTTTGCTCTGGCCCACGTCCACTTGATTGCAACATGTTTTTGTCACCTGGTTCTGTTGACTGCACCAGGCTTGCTAGGGGTGTTCCAGTCGCACTTGCTTTCTGCGCACCCCATTAGGAGGAGATTCTTAAATCTATCTTAAACTACCGGCCTGTAGATCGATGAATTCCATGTTTGAGTAGGAATGTTAGCAACCTCACCGCGTTTCACAGAGTGAACAGACATACTGAGGGGTTCCTGGGGAAGTTCGGGGAAGATTGATCTACTGCCGTGGAAGTTGGGAGAAGATCTCAAAAGACCACTTACGTCCAACCTCCTGCACAAGAGTGATGCTTTATGCCATGCACTTGGAACCACTGTCACCCGCGAAGATCTGTGAGTCGTTTCTAAAGCTGAGGTGGTCCGTAGAAGGATGCAAGTCCAACGCTGCATCAAAGGCCAAAACAAGTGGCCCAGCTGCGCTTCAAGGATTTGCAAGTGTATCCGGCAAACAGACACAGACCATAATATAAAAGCCCATAATCTAAATGTCAGTGATTCTATGCCAGCCACTGGTTGTAGGGTTTCGGGTTTGATACATCGTGGGAGCGTACAAATCCACTGACCTGTCCTACAAGCTGAGCCAGGGAGGGCCCACATGAGCCAGTGGGACGGACTCCAATGAGTGAACTTCGAGGGTCTACACCGCAGTGGCACAGGAAGAACCCATGGAAACCGACCCAGGGCCAACCAACCCCAACTCGTTGTCCTCTCAAAACACGTGGAGCCCTGAAAACCTGCATTTCTCTCTGATTTCTATAGCTGATTGCTACAGCCAAAGTGGTTTACTTTTTGCTGTTATAATACGACCGGCTGCTGGGCGACTCCGCCTTCGCCCCCGACCGTCGCCTCGTGTCGGACGGACCGGCCCGTCCCGGTACGTCGCGGTACGTCGAGGTACCACTCGGTCTTGCATGCACTGCTGACGATCCTCCGAAAGGAGGGCTTCGTGCGACTTGGAGGGGTTTGGGCCAAAGTAGAGGAAGTGGACTTGTTTCGTCGACTTGAGCTAGCTGGAGGCTTAGGGGGGGAAGACCTTCGAGTTTTTCCTTCTGGGGTTTTCAAACGGGGCACAACGGGGCGCTCTCAGTTTGCAGGCGCATCGCTGCTTTCAACGTCATTGGCACATGACTGGCACAGTTTTCTGGACGGGCGAATTCGCTAGTGATCTGTTTTGGGCCCCTTCTCTCCGTCCAGTTCCGTAGAGCCAGTTCTCCGCGTTCCTGCTCCCCCCCCACCATGCCGAGACGCGGGCGCGGCTCGCGGTTTTTGGGGCGCGAGAACGTGGCCCAGGAAAGGGCTCTACAAAGGGAGCTCGCTGACATTAATCAAAGGCCCCGTGAGTGCGGCCTGTGGCTTCACGGCCAATGACCCTTGGAAGACCGAGAAATGAATGGCTCCAGCTGCAGAGCCCAGAAAAAGCATAGACTTTTGCCGATGAACAGGCTTCAGGCATTTGGTTGCAAGGGAATTGAAGTGGTTCCAAGATCTCCACCCCTATAGATGTAGTCCAAATAGTCCACACTTTTATGCTGTGGATCAAGCAATGCAAACTGGGGGAAGTGGAACATCAACTGTTTCCAGCTTGCCATCCCATGGAGCCGCCTGTACTGTCAAGCCGCCTGAGGATTTCCTGAAGTCCATCTTGTTGGGCAGTGCCCATTCACCCGAGCGCTGCCCTCCGCGTGGGTGGCCTGATGGCTGCGAGGCGGGGTGGCACGGTTGCAGGGAGCTGCCGCTGCTGAGCCTCAAAAGAAGCAGACGTGGAGTTCACCCCCTGTTGAGTATGAGGAACATGGTCTTTTCCGGTGAGTGTTAAAGGGAGGGTAGATGGTCATCTTGCTTCTGAACTGGCCACTGACTGAGGGGCTGACTGAAGGTCTTGAGGCCATTTTCAACTCCAAGTCTCCAGATCGTGGCCTGGAAGGCCAGGGGTGAATGTGAGCCGTAACCTGTGGCGTGTCCTGGATGGAGCCCAGTGGCTCAGCGGTGAAATCCGAGTCCATACGAGAATTCTTCCACTTGCTTGGCCGCCCGGCCACAGGGCAGAGATCGAGGGTGCGCCGTTCTCGCCATGAATTCGGCTGGTATGAACATCTATGAAGAGGGATGCAGAGATCATGGATTTCCAGTTTAGATCTGGTCTCTCGACGTGGCGCCTTAGACGGTGGCGCCTCCTTTCCGCAGTCAACGCACGGCGCGCGCGTGGCGCGTGGCAGGTGGTCCGCGACCCCAGCAAAGCTCTGAAGAAGCTGACCCCCATCGACCATTTGATGACGGGCGGCGCGGCAGGAGACGACCACTGACTCCCTTCCCTGGACAAGTCCAGGAGGCCTCTCCGTCACGTTCCCACGGAGCCCAAGGAATGGGGCCTCTCCTCACGACCCAAGAATGGAGCCCAAGGGACTCCAAGGCATTCATCGACAGTAATCCCAATTACAGCCCAACAAAATTGGGACAATAATGGGTTCATCCCAACATCCCCATGATCCCATTCCGTAGTTTCTTACTGTTCATCGACAGGTTCTGATGAGAACGGACGCCCGAAACCCATCGAGATCCTTGACGCAAGTGGTTAGGACATGTTAGGACGACTGTGGGAAAAGTTTAAGTTTCGAAGTGTCCCTTCAAAAAACTAGCGGCCTACCCCTCCGCCCCCTTAAAAGAAAAGGTGATTGGGGCTACTGGGGAAACCTCGATGAATCTTCCGGGATGGGGAAACTCCAGGTGATGGGAAGCGCCGGGCTTCACGGAACACGGTGCTCGTTGGGAGGAGCGGTGGCGAAGACGGTGATCGCCCCGGCAGATCGGGTGAAGTGCCGTGAGCTGCGTAGAGGTCGGCGAGGATGGACGGTCCCATGGGTATTTTTCCCAATCGAAACTGGCAGCTGGAGCCTAGGTAGGTGGCTTGTTCTGCCCGTGATGTTTTTCCACCACTTGGGGCTTAGTGAGGAGACTTTTGGCCATGGGGTTGATGGCAGATGTACAGGATCCAGCCGATTTCTGAAAAACAGGCCTCCTTAAGAGCAGTCGTGAATTTCAGGGAATGTCACTCAACACATGAAATGAAGCGATAGGTCTCCTTTGAAAAACGGTCAGCTTGTTGCATCATGTCCTCTTCATTCACAAGCCAACGGACGGCTGACACTCACTGATGCTCAACACCTGGTCAGATGTCAAGTTTCGGACGCTTTATTTCGAACACTCAAGCCCTCCATGTAGGTGGCATAACGCGATGCGTTGGGCCGACCGCCCTGCTTGCTGCCTGTAACAGTCAGTCAACAAGAACACCACTATTTTAGAGAAAAGCCTGCAACCTAACCATCATCCAGAGTTGCAGGGACAAGGATGATGCATGTAACATAGACATACATAGACAATCGTAGATATAGATGCCGTGCACATCTGTGCACATACACATGTTACACACTCCTTGAAAACACTCATGGCTTCGTGTATGTCGATGTCGGAGGACCAATGAGGACCATCCCAAGACCAAGCAAGGTTGCTTTTCCCACTTCCATGAGTCAATGAGTATTTCGGGGAGTGTATGACAAACCCTAAACCCTAAACCACCCCCTTCCATTGATTTAATGATTAGGTCAGGTCTACCGTTGGTGGTGTTTTATTGAGGGAACTGCTCTCTCATCTCAACCGGCCTAAGAACTCTGACCTGTTTGGGGGCAACAGAACCCATTTCTGACAGAGAGTCTTCTGACCGCCCAGATTGGGCTCCAGCCCGAGAATCCGCCTTGGATTCTGTTGTGGTACAGGGAACAGCTGGGAACAGGTCACTTCAAGGAACGATGCAGGTCAAAGCGCCATGTACACCTTGAAGTTGAAGTTTTGAGGGGTTTGGGTGGACTTCTCTTCAGTTTCGGCACTGTTCTATTTTTTGTGCCCGAGGCCATCCATAGGCCGTCCGCACCACACGGTTTCCGAGGATCCTTTACCAAACCAACAACAACCGGCCCTTCTCCTGGCATGGCGTGAGGGCCCTAGGCCTGATCCATGTGTCAAGACGGGCGGGGTGAAGGACCTGTTCTAGCATCAAAACAATTGTATAGCATATTGTAGTTCTGTCAGGGGAAGAAAACAACTGCTTTGTGCCCTTGTGTTCTCCACTGTGAGGTTTCTGGAGTGACTTGGAATAAACTCTTCATGGTGGGCACTGTGTTGGGAGTTTTGAAGCTTGAATTAGTCCAGATTGCAGAGAGCCAAGCGAACAGTGGACCATCATTTTAAACCCCTTGACCAGGTGAGGGTGATAGAACTTTGCTCGAATCCCTTGATGTGCTCACATTTGCTGAAGGGCTTCACTTCAGATTCACGTCTGAACGCAACGACTGTTTGATAATTCCTGTGTTATATTGTGCCGCATTGGCTTGCGCTGCTGTTGGATCACCCAGATGAATAAACCATGCGTGGTGTGAAGGCTCGTAGCCTTGTGAACATGCGATTCAAACTGACCTTATTGCAGCGGGGTAAGAAGGCCCAAGACTGAACGTAGACACATCCCTTGAAAGACCTTTTGTTCGCAGCGAACGTTTCAGCACGAACGCCCGTGAGGTCAGAAGAACGTTTCTGGGCGGAGAGTCTGTGGGTTCAAGGTTTCAATGCGTTCCAGGCACAAGGGTGTCAGAAACATTCCAAATTTGGAACTCGTGGAATGAGTGATGTTTATTGTTTCTATTTGGTTTCTCTCTCTCTCTCTGTGTTTGTGCTGCCTGCGATATACCATGTGAACCCCGTTGGAAATTCCTGAAGATCGATGACGTCAAAGCGACTTTCAATCAACAGTGTCTTCCCAAGTTGCAGCACGTTCAGTGGGAAAGTCAAAGTCGTGGTGGGAACAGTCTGGCCAATCTTTGGGAAAGTCGTGGGGGGCGTTTGGGAGAATTGGTGGTGTGGAACACGCCACAAGTATTGCCAAGTATCATCAAGTCATGCAGTCCATTCCATGTTCCACTTTGATTCCTGATGTGGACTGTTGAAGCACAAAACCCTACCAGAATGGCCATCTCCAGTCCTAGGGTGTTATGTTGACCGTCTACATGGATCTAGGCCTAGGGAGAGGGTAGGGTGGGGAGAGGGTGGCTTCGTTGGGTTTGGGACTTGCAGACACCTCAGGTTTTTCACCATCTACACCAATACCGGTGTGACGGGCCTCTGGCGTGGGCACTGTGCCATTTAGCTGAGAGGAGCAGGTGGAGCAAGGGGCGAAGAGTGGGACTGGCTTGGGTACCTGGCTTGGGTACCTCGTTTTGCCAGTCCCAGATCGGTGACAGATGGGACCAGAACCTGTGTTTGGGACATTAACATGGATAGTAACTTGGAATAACATGGATATAACTTATATAACTATTCCCATATATGGATGATTTGGGCATGCACCCACAAGGCAGCCAGGTCTGCCCCCCAACGTTCCCCGATATGTCGATAGAAGCTCCCATCGATGGGCCTTCGCTAGGTACTCTTGCACACATCAGACCATAAGTTCAGCTCGTATACGCGACAGAGGTCGAACAGCCAACAGCCGGACAGGTCCACACCCATCCCATGACTGGTCCCTGTCCCTGTAGAGGTTCCGGTCCCTGCGCTGCGCGTTCGTCACCTTCATCAGCCTGAACAGCGAACGCTTCGAGATCGCCTCTCCCCAAGTGCCCAGGCGACTTTGATGCAGGTGATTCCCAAGTCGGCGACCACGTACATGACCTTTGATCGGCGCGCGGGGGGGGGGGTCGCGTGCGAAGGGCGCCGATGCAAAGGCGAGGGAGGCGCGGTGCTGTCTGTCTCTGTCTCTGTCTGTCTCTGTCTCTGTCTGTCTCTGTCTGTCCTGTCCTGTCCTGTCCTGTCCTGTCCTGTCATGTCTGTTTGTTGTCTCTCTTTTGCTTGGCACGGTGCCCTATTAATTTGCTTCGTAACCTTTGGTTTTCTTTTCCAGAGGTGCCCTCCAAGAATGGAAGTGCATGCAAGGATCACGACGACAGACCCCGTCTATGCTTTTACACAGCCCCAGCTTGTACCAGTCGCAGGGTTGTTGGATAGGGATATATAGAGGCAGGCTCAGCCTCAAACAAACATGGCTACTTCTTCGAATCAACGAAATCATGGCGTGATTGTTGCGGTTGATGTGTTGCAGCGTCTTTCTCTTTTTGTGTAGCGCTTCCGATGCGTCCCGACCCGGTTGGTTGCGGTTGTAGCTACTCTTCACCGGGGAGGATACTGGTCGTCGGGTTCGCTCTTCACATCACCGGCGATCGTCCAGACACGAGGTTCATGTCGCCCATTGCCGCCCCAGACCCCGTGGCACCACCCCCAATGTAAGCAAATGTGGCAGATGGAGTGTTTGGGTAGATATGTAAGGCAATTTGTATATGCATATTTGCCCACAGGGGTTCATGTAGGTAGATATTCAATAGATGGAGTGTTTGGAGACATTTGTGCATCGGAGCACTCCACTGCCGTCTTCTTTGCGCATGTTTGACCGTTTTTGCTTTTATGTTTCGGCCGCGTGAAGTGCGGAGGTACCGCCATTGGATCTCGAAGAGCACCGTGTGGGGCTCAATCAAAGCACAGGGGCGGAGACGAGATAGCGGAGTTGGAGCTTATGGTTTCTGGCAGCTCCAGTGACTAGCTTAGTACGGGACCTTACCTGCAAATCCCTCAAAGATGGACACAGAACTTGTCGCACCCTGCACACACTGGATCAAAGGGAGTTCTGTGGCGGCCTTTGACAAGAGTTGCTTGGTAGGAGCTCACTTGTCCACTAAAAGGACACTGTCACCCCAAAAGGCATGTTCAAGCGGTAGTTTGAAGGGCGGAGTCCCACTGGCCAAATGCTTGCTGCATGTGGGAGATCCAACTCTGACCATGACACCTGGCCCAGATCTTCCTCTAACCAGGAGCGTGTGCCACAAAAGGTTGTCCTTGGTACGAGAGTGTGACGACGGAGCCAAGTCATCCAAAAACCTGCGGGACTCTATTGAACTGTTTGCTTTTGCCCCAGGATTCCCACCAATTATATACTTCAATGGCTCTTACCAAATTGCCATTGCTGCACTACTTACACTACAAAACCAAGGCTTCACTCCACCATCTTGTTCCAGCAGCCCTGCTGGAAGAACATCACCCGACGCAACGCATCTGGGCATCGAACCCGTTTCGGGGCGAGAGCGGCCCCAGCTCAGACCCTGGACAATGTGTCGATCCGCTTCCTCGCGGGCGCGCTGGCGGGAGCGACGGCCACGAGCCTCACCTACCCGTGCCTTGGATGGATGGGAGGCGTTGTGTGGCATACGACGAGCCTAGCAGGGTCCATGTTGGGCCATGCCGAACGCACGGAGGGTCATGTCCGGGTGTTCACCGTGGGGTAGAGCTCACCTGCACCAGGAGCTCCATGGAGGTTTGGATGTCGGGGGTGGTTTGGAGGTTCGGAGGGCCTTCCGGGCCATTCCGCACCTCGAAATGGATCTGCTGATAGACCGTTGATTCATATAAACCCCCGCTATGTTTTGACATCTCCGCTGTAAGGTCGGCATTGGGACACCCCGAATGCCACTTCATGCCCTTTCACCTGGGTCTATGGGAGGCCTTCCTATTCCACTACAAGCCGAAAAACACACGCTGCCTAGCATCCTATAGCATAGATTTCTGGAACATCGAGGAGCTAGCAAGTGGTTTTGGTGGAAATCTTCTGCAAGGTTTCCAGGATGATGCATGATGATGCATTTGACTTCCCAGACTCGCAGCGTTCTTGGATTCTTGGGAAGTTCTTGGATTGCTGCGCGCTTGAGCGCAAGCGCAAGCGCCGCGCTTGGCGCGCCTTGAGGTTGGACATGATGCGAGCGCGCATGGCTGCTCATTGGGACATGACCGGGAGTTGCCGAGATCGGCTGCCGAAGCGTAGAAATGGGGGGGACGTGAGCCAGTGGGGTCTGGGTCTGGGCAACGTGGTCTTGTCCGTTCTTGGAGAGATGGCGGTTTTGTGGACGGCAAAATCGAAGCTCGACCATCTAAGACTGTGCACTTGTCCTATTGCAGGCCTCAACACTGATAGGAGCAACTTACTCCCTGAGATGGCAGGAGTTTCAAGAACAACAAGAAGAGTCAACCTAACATGTGTTGGGTCGCTGAGAATATGCTCCTTCCTGCATGCAGTTGAAGTCTGTCAACCACTCTTGAGAGAAGACAAGTGTCGACCGTAATCCGGTCCACCTATCAAAAAACACGCGCCCCCCCCCAATAAGGAAACCTCGGCCGCCTTGGTTAAATTTGGGGGGCCCTGAAATCGGGGTGGTCCAAAATAGGTTCACCTGGGAAGGGCTTCAAAACCAAAAAGTCACCCAGGAATCTTTTATATCAAATCCTTTATCAAACTCGTTTCAAAAATTCAAAACCTCCAGATCGAAGGTGAGTCCGTGCCATTGGGGGAAGGAAAGCCTGCTGGTGTAAACACGGCGTGTCATGGTGGATAGACAGGGTGGACAGAGGTGGGCAGTTACGTTTCTTTTTTTGGAACCTAATTAAACACAAAAACAAAAACTCCTCCAAAATCGGCCATGTTGGTAGTTTAGTAGCGGTTTGAAAGGGCGGCAATTTAAACACGAATAATCCGTATTTAGGGGATTCCGACATGACTTTTTAAATAGGGGTCCGTTTCTTAATGGGTACTCGGGATTACTGTATATACCTGTGCACATTGGTGCCAGAAATTAATATTCTTCTGAGATTTTGTGTTTGAGCATGTTTGAGCACCAGAGGTTCCGAAGAGCTAGATTTGATCCAGACTTGAGTACGGTCCCAAGGGCTTGACGGGCCTGTGGAGTTTTTTGGGGGGATTCCTGCGAGATGTGGAACCACTTTGAGACACCTTTTTGAAAGACTACTGAAATTCTTGCTATTACAAGCAGTCTATGGGCTTCATATCAGCCTGCTTGGGCAGTCTTTGGTGTCCATCGTCACGGAGGAACATGTCGGAACGTCCTTCCATCGTCAGCAGAGCGGGGGGCCGCTTGGTCGTCCAGGACGCCGCGCTATCCCAACTATTTTGCCGCTTTCGAACGCGTCCTGAAGGATTGGGAGAGAGACTGCTGAGACCAGATCATATTACAAATGACTCAACTCATCCCAACTCCACTCCTGAAAGACGGGTTTTCTTTCCAGGAAACGGCCTCCCTACGTAGCTTCTGAGAAGGGAGTGGGCATTTGCGGGTCCAGTCGTACCTTTTGAGGAAGTACCACTGGAGCCCTTAGGCTTTGGGACTCCTCATTCCACCACGGTGTGGAACGCTCAGACGGACGGATGGGTGGGTGGTGAGTGGTTCTGAGCTTCTGGCGCTCGCCCACCAGACCATCCACCGGGAGGAGTCGGAAAGGTCAAAGCGGAATGCATCGGGGTTGGACATGGAATACCTTGAAGTCATCCTTCGTGGCCACTTCTTTGGGGGTTGGACATGGGTTGGATGGGAACACTTGGGCCGCGAGGGGTCATGGGTCATGGGGTAAATGTATCATGTACAGTAGTTTCAGAGCTTCGATGGCACAGACCCCCTGATGTCCTAGACAGATGGGGATCCATATAAACCACCTTGAGTGAGTCTTGGGGTCTGTGCCATCGAACCTCTCAATCCACTCTAACTCTTCCAGTCCTCTGGATCGCTTTTGGGGGTTGGCTTCCGACCCGCGGCGGCGGTGTCAGTCATCATCCAGTCATCCAGTCCGTGGGCCCGGTTCCAGGCGGTTCTTTTGGGTGACCAACTGGGTGATGCCTCAGTGTCAGATCATTGCGAGGCAAGACATGTTCTTTTCAGTTCGGATCACTGAATGGAATGCACCTGAGCTTTTTCGGGAGCTGCAGGCTGGTTGTGTTGTGTTGTGTTGTCCTCAGGGTTTGATCTACAGGAGGAGTGTCAAGAAACTTAAAGACTTTCAACCATGGCAATTCTCAGCAGCAGACTCTAATTCTCAGCCTCTCAGCAGATCGTATCTATAATCCATTTATATCAATCCATCCACACATATATATATATATAGATAGATAGATAATGATAGATATAGCAGGTCTTCCATTTTTCTTCCTAAACCGTGCTTGGTTGGTCATTCTCAGCTCCGCACCGACCGGTGGCAGGATGAAGGGATCTCTTCTTTCTACAAGGGCATCCGACCGACCCTGATGGGTATCATGCCATACGCTGCTCGGCGGCTTCAAGCACCAAGTACCAGTAGCAGGTCTGGTTTGAGTAGTGGAGAGGAGAGTCGCCAGGCCTTGTCGAGAAGGCAGGCCCTGAGAGTGTTTGTCATATTTTTGTCCTGGCATCTTTTGGCTAACTTGGAGAACTTCCTCATGAGGATGATTCCCTTTCTCACCCGTGGCTACTACCTGTCCTTCACCAGAACTGGTCACCAGGTCCTCAAGTGTCACCTGTCGTGTTTCGAAGTGGAAGGAGATACCTTGCGGGTCCTTGTGGGTCCTTTCCAGTCGAAGCTGTCCTCCATGGAAGGAGTCACTCCTTTTGCCAAGGCTGGATTGAGCTTCATGGCCTATGAGACTCTTAAAGCTCACTTGGTGGCAGATGAGGCCGACGTGACGGTGCATCAGCGCTTGTTCCCTGGCAGCAGAAATTCAAAGGGAGGTGTTATTTGAGCCACACGCACACGCACGCAAACACACACACACACATGTTGTGTTCTTTTTTTTGGTGGAGGCCTTTCAACACCATCGTGGGGATCTCAAATCTAGCATGGATGGCACAATGGAAGTTACTTCACAAGAGGCTGAAGCTGAGGGTTTGCCATGGTTTGCCCATGTGGACGACAGGTTGATACCAAACCTAGTCTGCAAGTGATAGCTGATGGCTTACCCTCCATCCAACAAACATGGAAGTGGAACATGGCCCCTTGGAAGATGCTTTTCCTGTACGAACAGGCTGCAGGCTGTACGAACCATGTAACCATGATGGCTTCAGGGAGGGTAGCTCCTCCCGTCCCTCCCGTCCACTGCACCCCACAAGCCCGCAACGTGGGAGCTGTTATGGAGGGGCAGTGGGGGGGGGGCATGAGGCGGATCTTCTTTTGGGGCGGGAGGGTTCTTTGTGGCTACCAGTGCCTAGATCTTGGCTCAGGCCCTTTCAGTGTTAAATCTGATTGCCAATTAACTAAGTGTGTTGTTACCAGTGCCCGTCGTAAAGTCATATAAGAAATAAGAACGTATAAGATTTAATCAGCTATTTCTTAAAAACTGACCCTGGATAAAAATTGACATCTGGGATCTTCACATACATCGTTTCGCCGGACATGTGGTATTTGTTTGATACTTTTATGTGGTTGTTGCTGCTGCTGTTGCTGCTTTTTGCTGTTTCCTCTTCACAGTTTAAGCTCTCTTCAATTCTCCGGTGTTGAATGAAGATCCAATACTCCACGGAGGTGGTAACCTAGCGTAGCTCAGGTGAAGAACCGTGTGCGGCACGCCGTTTGTTGGTTGGAACAGCAGCCAGGATGTGGGGTTTGAAAAGCGACCTCCAGTTCGCATTTATGGAATCTATGGACTGCCCTCGAAGTGGTTCAAGTGGAACTCTCGGCTGAGCCTCAGCGGGTTGAAACCCGCAGCTCCACTTAGGTTCTGTGGCGCTTGTGCAGGCCCCCGTTCACTTTCCGGTGAACCCCGCAGCGCTTCTGCTTCCAGTTCACGGCGACACATTTTCATGTTTGGGTTTGTCCCGATGTGTCACGTGTTGGTCGATCGTCACGCGATGAGTCGTTCGCGATTGGGTAGACTGGCGCCATGAAGACTGGTCTGTCCCTGGTCGCACGTGGAAAAACACTCCGGGTGTGCATGGGCAAGCATCACACGTTCTGGCCCCAAAAAGCCCGGATGACATGCAGGAACCCCCCCACTGGCCGGTGCCATGGGACCCGTCCTGCGCGCGGTTGCCGGGGGTTGCGGAGCCTTTCGCCCCCACGGGCGGGACAATGGACAACGCCACACTCGGTCCTCGGTCCTCGGCCCCAAGGCGTCGTCGGTTTCGCTCCAGGCATTTTCGCCCAGTCCACCACCTATCCCTTGGACATCATCCGGAGAAGGATGCAGGCAGGCTTTGGCGAAGTGAGAGTAGTGAGATAGTGAGACGCATCACATCTCGGTGGCAGCCTTGAAAAAGCAGAGCCGTCCATCCCAAATCTCCATCCACCTCAAGTTCATCCAAATCCATCCAAATCATGTATCTTTTTCTGATCGCTTTTTCTTTCGGGGGATGGATGTTCATTTAATACGTAGAGAGGTCTGATCCCTTTCAGCCGGACTTCACCTAACCCCATGCCGCCCCCGCACTTCCATTGTAGGTCCATCCAGGGCTCTATCGCAACGAGCTGCACGCGCTCCGCAGCTCGGAGACACGGGGGAAGGATGGATGAACCGTCTTTGGAAGGTCTGAAGTTGGATTTTTCATGTTCGACCGTGACACACCCTTTACTTGGGGTGACTTGGTATTTTTGACTGGCTTGTATGCATGGTTTCAGAGGTTGTTTGTTTGTTCTTTTTTTACTTGGGGTGACTTTGTATTGAATTATAGTATGCATGGTTTCAGATGTTGTTGTTTTTTTTAACCTTTACTTGCAATGATTGTACCCATTTAAGCCCACGGACCCACGGACTCAGATTCTTTTTGGTTCGTGAGTTGAAACCACCAAGCAGGTCGGATGAGTTTGGATGAATCAAGTGGGCCCACCAATGTCCTTCATGGATGGGGCCGTTCATCGAGCTAAGTCGTCGGCCATCGGGCTAAGTCGTGGGTGTGGTGGCCATTTTCTGGTGCAACGCCAGGGGAAAATCCCTGTTCAGCCCTAGAGAATATGATGTGCCGGTCTACAGTGGATCACCTGCAACAAAAGCCCTGCAAAGCCTTTTGGGGGGAGCCTATCGCTCCACTCAACGATCGAGCAGGTGGACATTTCGGCCCCGTTCGGCCCTGGCCGAGCCAGAAAAAAAAAGCAGCGGCCGAAGCAGGTCCCACGTGGTTGGATCGATAGAACAGGTGGACAAAGGTTCTCCATGGTAAACACTTTATTTCAGCCTGTGCTGGGACCTTGGGGCCACTGGTGTGCCGGTCCCAGCCCAGCGACGTCGCACCAAGAAGCGACGTTGGTATGCAGCGGGGTCTTTGGGAAGAAACATCGCCAGCGTGGCCACCCCCAAATGCCAAAGAAACTTACTGTATCAATAGGATTCAATACACTTCCTGACATAATCATGGTTTTGTGGATGGCAAACGGCCCACGAGTTCGGATGACCATGACATCCGAATACCCAAGAGGTGGTGGTTTTCCACGTCCATGAGTGTTTCAGGGAGTGTCCGGAGCATTTTTGTTAAATCAAATGGACTGAAGACCTTTTTCATCCTTTTTCCATGAGATTCCTTGATTGCTTCCTCAATCCCCTCCCCCCAAGAAGCTGAGCCCACCAACGTGCTTTGGAACACCTCCGTCCTTTTTTTCGCTTTTGTCACGCTTTTCTTCTCGCATCCTCGAGGCGCCATCTATCGCAGCGAAGGTCTCGTTGGAGGTCTCTTTAAAGGCGTCTCCATGAACTGGATCAAAGGCCCAGTCGTCCCCCGGCACGACTTGGCACAGGGGACGGCGGCGCAACGGCTTCGCGAAGGATGAGCTGTTGGCGGATCATTCTTCGCCATCGAAAGAGCAGGGCATGGTTGGGGTCTCCACCTTCCAGGGTCTCCAGTGGATCGTTCTTTCAGGGGTGCAGCAAGGAAGCACAGATGTCAGCGTTTTGAGGCAGCTAGTTTCTGGCGGGATACGCCAGGAACGAAACCGTATCATGGAGTGAAAGTCACAGACTATAAACAGAATGGTCTTTGGGTGACCTGAAAAGGGACTTCCTTTACTTCAGTCAGTCAACGTATAGTCTTTGGACTTCTAGGGGTTAGTTTTCTTTGCAACTTCACCCTCTCCACGTTTGTAGAGGAGGTCGTCTTGCAAGGCAACATTGTCACCGTCGATCAGTCATTGTTCGAGAATGTTCGACACATGTAAGAAGTCATGTATATAAGTTATATAAGCCGGATACCTTCTTTTTGCCCGCTGGCTGCAAAAGAAAAGACCGGCCACTGAGGCAGTTGGGGTCTCCTTCACAGACTCTTGGCAGCTTTTGGCACAGGAGATTTCACACAGAGCCTCTCCAAAAAGAACACTATTCTTTTCTTTTTTTCGGTGGTTGCATGCATTTCCTTCAGGATTCTGGAAATCATCCAATATAAAAATCCGTTGTTTGACTTGTGCCGTGCTTTCCAGCCGCAGGGATGCGAGCGAGAGATACGAGCCTAGGTCAATGATATTTTGAAGAAGCAGCTGATGCAGCAGCACAACTTTTAATGCAAGTCCCGTCCCCTTCCGTGCGTTTTCCCGGTCTTGCGCAGATGAAGATTGCGGGCCCACGCACGGCCACATGCCCGCTTTCGAGGGGCCCTGGAACAACCTGGCTAGGTTAACCAAACGGCCAACGACTGACCTTCCCTTCTTGCCGTTCTTCACTGGAAAAAAGACACCGTTCTTCCGACTTTCATGAACAGCGCCGAATGACCGGTGCCGAATGCGCCCCGTGGCCTTCTTCGCGCATGCCGTCAGACAGGCGGTACAGATCCGCCAATGGGTGTGCATTTCGACTCGGGGAGAGTGCCTGGCCCAAGGGGTTTTGAGCAGGTGTTCAGAACTAGCCATGTTTTGGTCGATTCTCGTTCTTTAGAGGGGGTTTTCCACTGGGAGCGTCTCCCTTTTTGGATGCACACCCTTATAAACCTGCAAGTGGAGAGGTCTCCAGATGGTCACGTCGGTGAGAGGACGGATAGGAGTTTCGCCGAAGAGCCCTACCATTCCGACTTGGGGTTCCCAAAGCTGCCCGAGGGCTCCAGTCGTACCTTCGTTTCGAAGGTGGGACTGGGGTGAGTGCCAGGAGGGTCTAGAATGTCTTCGTTTCGGAGGCATGACTGGAGCCCTAGGGATGGAGAGGAGCACTGACACCTAGACCATCCGCCGACACCATGTGCGACTGTCTCCCGGCACAGCTGGTGCAGGGGCTCTGATGTGCAACCCTCTTATATAGCTTGTGCGATGCAGGGCATGACCTCCCAAAAAAGGCCGCGTGCCGGCGTCGCTTCCAGAACTGGCTCCAGTCCCCCAGTGAAGGGTTTTGACTATCTTTTGACTCAGCCCCAGGTGTCAATCAACTTTTGGGCCCCTTTGACGATGTATGGGAAGCTTGCTGTCGCTACCGCCACCGCTATCGGCTGGTTGCTATCAAGTTCTGTCATGAAGGCAGACATACCCGGTACATTTTACAGATACAGGTCACCCAAGGCAGGTGCCACTGGATGCCGCTGGTTGGGGTGGATTTTCTCCCAGCGAACTTGGTGCAAGAGCAGCAGATTTTTGGTGTTGCCGTTGGCTCCTGGCAGGGCTATAGGTTTAGGTTTTTGGTAGGCTGTTTTGGTAGGCTACAATGATTTATATGTATTCATGAAGTGGATGAGGATGCGACACTGTAGGGGACACCATCGTGGAATGAATGCATGAAGCAAAATAAATATGAGTCGAGCCAAGATGAGCCAAGCCTTTGGATTTTTGGGATAAGCCAACCAGTTCATCCCACACCGTCCCAGAAGAATTGGGGCCTCTTTCGTTCCAAGGTACGCGCAGATGAAGACTCGGAGGAGCAATCTCCGCAAATCACCGGGGCGAGGTCGCACGACGATAGTGAGACTCGAGCACAGCCTGTCCCACTAGGTGGAGTGCTAAGCTTTGCATAGCTAGCTAATGTTGGATCCTGATTAGTAAATAGGCCCCCCCTACCTCAAACAAACAGGGGATCCTCTATAATAAACTATTACCAAAACAAATCTGGATTCCTGTGAGAATTCCTTTTTGTAATTGATTGTAGTATTAATTTTCCTTTCATAGATTGTATTCAGCTTCCTTTCTCAAGGAAAGGAAGATTCCATGAGCAGTTTTTTCACAATTGAGAACCCAAAAACAAATCTATTATTGAGGATCAGGTGCCTTCCTGGTCTACTACCTTGAAAATTTGTTTAGGAGCAATGTTTAGGAGCAAAATTTGCTTTGCTGCTGGCTGCTTGCCTGGGAAGGGAGGGGGGAGTGCAGGTGGACAGGGTTCAGAAGGAATTCAAACCCTTATTAATTAGGTTTCCAATATAAAAAATAGGGTCCCCAACCAATTTAGCATTATTCAGGACCCATTTTTCAATCATGGGGTCTGGAATAATTTTGGAAACATTTAGCATTATATTGAGGACCCATTTAATAATCAGCATCCAACATTAGTGATGGTGGGGTTTCATCAGAGGGCTAAAGGGGTGGAGTCTTAAAGGGGTTGATAGTGAGCAAAAATCTACATAGTCCAGAATCAAGTCTAGGGGATCAATTAGTTAATAGAGCTACTTCTTATCCTCCGCGGAGGTCCTCAGGACTCGGAGGGCTGTGGAATGCTGTGGAAGTTGTTTTTTTTTCTTCTCGATTTCTCACCCCACATTGGTCTCCATTTCAGTTGCTGAAACTTGATGGGTTCGATTTCAGAGGTAAGTTTTTTGAAGACATCCATGACAGGTTTTGCCAATTTGAGGGGTTGTTTCGATGGAGTCCGGCTATTGAAAACTCCTGCGAGGTGGCACTCTTAGAGGATCTCCCACTATTTACAGTGCTTTGAGAACCTAATCCCATCAACAATACCTTGCCGCTTGCCGACTTTTGGTTCTCGAGTGAACGGAAGGGCAGGCACCAATTGAATCGGCACACAGCCGGCCTGCATTCACTCAACGACGAACGTCCACAGCTCCACAGCTCGCTGAAAACGGAGCTTGGAGATGCTTGGAGCGGAGCTTAGGGTACTTATATGTCACATATGTCACTTGAACCAGGAGCTAAGAGCTACATGGAGTTCCTATCCCGTGTGCCAAAAAAAGTTGACACAGTCTAATGACTAACATGTCAACTCTTAAAGGGAACAAACAAGTGAGGCGTTTGTTCCTCTTGCTCGGGAAGCACCAAGAGTTACTCATTGTTTCACTTGTGATCATTGAGCCGAGAACTCTCGAATTCTCAGCTGGTTCTCGTCTGTTGTGACCTGGGTGCCACTTGATTCCATTATTGGCGGATTCATCGTGCTAGCCTCCCAGCATCCTCCAGCTTAACTGATGGAAGAGCACCCTCATGTAACAATCACCAGACACTCCATGGGAATATTTGCCTGTACATTGAAAACGTTGAACAGTTAAGGTGTGAGGTCCAGCAAGCTCGCCAGGACAGTGCTGTTCTACAGCGTGGCTTGGGGCTGAGGTGATATGTTCGGCAGTCACGTGGTTTTCAGAATCTGACCATACCAGGAGTTCTCAAGGTAGGCGTGTCCATCACAAAGATCCACTGACTGGGTTGGATTTTCCAAGACCACTAAAGCCCAAAGTATATCTCCCTAGTTACCTCCCTTCTTTGTAAACCACTCATTCTTTTTCTGAAAAAGGGGAGGCCAAAAGGCCAGTAGCTTGAAGGCTTTCTTCTACTTCTTTCTTGTTTGAAGTATACCTCCCCTCCTTCTTTATAGTTAAATACCTTCTTCTTCTGATGTGTGGCTGCTTCTGATGTGCGACTCTGCACCGAGGCTCAAGAAGCCAGCGTGCGCCTCTGGGAGTTCCGTGAACGGGTGCGGCCGGGCCGGTGGTGCCGATGAGAGAAGAGACCCGAAGAGGTGTGGCGCGAGTTGAGGGCCGGGAAGCCAATGCCATGCTGAATCAGCCACATCCAATCATTCTTGACTTATCTCCATTCTCCACCGGTCACAGCTGATGAACTCCGCTGCGAGGACCTGTCGATCACTTTGTGGGCCTTCGCGCGCGTGGAGCTGCGCGAGGAGCCTTTGATGCGGCGGATCGGTGCCTGGGCGAACGAACGTTTGGCGGTGGATCTTCCGGGGGATCTAGTGGAAGAAGTACAAATGAGGAGGTTTAATTCATTGGTAGCAATTGGTAGGGAATCTAAAGGACATGTGACATGTGTGGATCAATTGGGGTATTATATTGTTTGTGGTACAAACATGATTGTCTCAGCTGATGGCAATCAGGCTAATTTGTATTGAACATGCATGAAAAACATGGAACAACAAGATACATTGTTTCCCTTGGCGTCCGTGTCCCCTGCTCCTTGGTTCTTCAGGGTCCTGCCCTGGCCCTGTGACTGTGGGCCCCCCGGACAGACCACCTCGGTGAACTTTTGGTGCAAATCCCACAGGGGCATCAGTTAGGAACCATTCCAACTGGAGCATAGCATAGCTTTTGTAAACCACCCGCAGGCAACATTTAGAGCAGAAAGACCATTTTGCAGTCACTTGCAGCCACTTGCAAGTGGCTGCAAGTGACTGCTATATCATGATTTGGGCAGGAAGGAGCTACCTCTCATATTATGTTTTGTCATTGTGGGCTACCCAGGGATGAGATTTGAGCAGGAAGGAGCCATGCCAACTTTTGTGGCATTGTAAGTGCAAGTTGGGAAGCTGCACACGCCTTGTTCAGGAGGGTTTGCATGGTGAAAACAAGACTTTTCAGATCCGATCACTTGAGTGCAGAAGGCCCATGAAATGATTGGAAACCACTTGTCCCACCATGAATCCCCAGAAACTCGCGACTCGTGAGCCATGCTGCTTCCAGGGGATGTTCCAACTGGGCCCACCAGTCGGTTTGTCACGGGCTTCGTCCGGGACATGGGAAGAAGCATGCAGTAGACTCAGTAGACCACAGCAGACTGAGCGGTCGTTGATCCCTCAGCAACTACTCTGGAGGCATCAAATGCAGTATCCAAATAGATCCGGAGGTGGTACCTGGAGCGCTAGGGATAATGTATGATTATATATATATATACAAAGATAGATAGATAGATAGATAGATAGAAGTTTGAATGACCACCAACCACTCAAAATGAGGCCTTTTCCTATCAAAACAGAGGTCAATTGGGTTCTGGGTATATAGATCGAGATATGCCTTCCATGGATTTCCATGGAACATTTGGGTTCTGTGGGTCTTGGTCAGTTCCTGGTTCTTCGCCCACGTCTTCAGGGGACGAAGCAGCACGCCTGGCGAAGTTATCAGATGGGCCTTGGATGGCCTTGGGACGGAGAAGCGTGGCCAGTTGCCTTTCAGATCTTGATGTGCAGGATTGTGGCTACAAACAAAGTGTAACTCCAACTCAAGTGCTACGCAACCAGACATGCCAGTGTCCTACTGTACATGTCCAGCTTTTGCTTGTCATGTAGCTTGCGACCCCAAAATGCTTGGCACTAGCGGTTTTAGAGGCGCGCCCTTGGGATTCCTGATCCTTTCGCCAGTTTGGCGCGAATTCGGCGCTACTTTGGCGTGGTGCCAGTGCTTCTTGCAGCGAATCCAGAGTGACCAATGACCAAGAGAACATCAC